AATGAAAACGAACGGAATATCATCAGGTCCACAACTTTTGCTTTTCATTTGATTCAAACTGTTGTTTAATTCTGATAAGTTAAATATATCGTTTAGCGCAATACAGTCGTTATTAATATTCATGTTTGGTTCGTATATTATTGGATTATTTTGTTCATATATATTTTTAATTGCGAGGAATCCATCATTGAGTTGTTTATTACTGCTATTCGATTTGAATTTGTCAAATTATGTCAAATGGCTCCGTAACTATAGCTCCGTCATTAACTAGTATTTAGTGTTTTGGGATGTCATAGCTGTGAACTGTGAAGGTTTGTTTGTGAGAAAATGATTGTGTGTTGGAGGAAAGATTATGTTGAATAAGTGGTTGGTTGTGATCCATTTGGATTGGTGTGATACGAACAGTAATACGTACCTTGTGAGTATATTGCAGTCGCAGATGTAGTGTAGCACACGCGGGAACCGGTTGCGCACGTCTTTACTCGTTGAGCGGTACTCGCGAACTGTAATGATAATATTATAGTGTTCAATGTGTTCATATTACAATAATTACAAAAAAACTTTTTTTTAATAATAAACGTCAGTGAGCTAATGTTCTTAAAAATAAATATTAGAAAAAAAGTTTCTTTTTATATAGAAATATTAACGACCGTRTGTATTYACTTTAGTGTCACTTAGTTTTTAGTATGTGCTAACCTATAAATACTGCCGTGCTGGTATGTCAAATATGTACAAAAAAATCCAACGTTCAAGATGAAAAAAAATATATATATTAGAAAAGTGATTATACCATAATAGTCTGCGCCATCAGTTTAATTTGGGCACATGTAGATGTCCGCGGATAGTATAGAAAACGATCAAAATAATAAATTATCATTTATCCCTTGTCATAAACTCATAGTAACAAAATGATTTTTCAGGACTGGGCAGTCGAACTAACCTGAAGTAATACAAACTTCACAGTGAGTTGTCTACATTCATGAGACGTAAAACACTCATTATTTGTAAAAACTATATACTTTTTTCAAAATTTTAGATACATTATGCTGTTATGAAAGTATATAAATTTTTAATATTTTTCACCCTTATATTTATTAGATAAACCAGTATCAACTTTTGATTTTTAAATGACAACCTATATTAAAAATATCATAAATTAATAAGGCTATATTTTTAATAAATTGTCGCGTTTAAATTTTCATTTTTCGTTAATCCGTTGACGAGATATAGTCTCCCAAAGTTGGATGGTTTTGGGRTGGTGTTTATCCTGTGTAAATGTGTTTACCTATTTTGGGGCAAAACTTAGGCTTAACTATCGTTCTTACTGAATTTATTTGAAAAGTGTATTATTTTTTACGCTAGAGTACAAAAATCCCAATTGCTGCGGCCGTGGTACTGACATAGTATAACACATTTATACACAATAACACCACCCCAAAACCATCCAACTTTGGGAGACTATACCTATAACTCGTCAACGGATTGACGAAAAATGAAAATTTAAACGTGAAAATTCGTTAAAAAAATAGCCTWATGATATTGTAACATAGGTTGACATTTAAAAATCAAAAGTTGATAGTGGTTTACCTAATAAATATAAGGGTGAAAAATATTAAAAATTTATATAGTTTTAGAACAGTATAGATCTAAAATTTTGAAAAAAAAAGAAATTTGAAAAAAGTAAATAGTTTTCATAAATAATGAGTGATTTACACCTCATGGATCACCCTATATATATATCAACAGTAAAATGGCCTATGGTAATGACTAATAAAATATGACGTGCGCGTTATTCCGCTAGTCAAGGTTAAACAGTGAACACCGMAAAAAAATCAAACTATAATGAATATTAAAAATTAGGAATCAAAAATTTTAATTCCAACAAGAATACGATTATAGATAATTTTTAACGAAGAAAACTAGGTATTTGTAAGTTCGTCCATTTACGAGCTATTTATTATTTTTTTTTAACAAAACAATAATTTKAATCGTAATTAGTAAATACAATTATTTTACTTTACGTTATGAAATATAGCGAAAATGAATATGAATATTATATTAAAACAAAACAATCAAACCATGGTACCAATGAACACAAAAATCAATAATATGCAGAATTCAACAAGCCAATTTTAATTTTTCACGTAACTATAGGATTGCATATTAAAAGGTATAATTTTTTACATAAAAATGTCGATCGTTTCCATTTATTAATTTGATTGTATTAAAAATATTATGTCGCATTATATTTTGTTTTTTCTCCAGAAAAATATTTAAACTTAACCCTTAAATTAGTGGTATAGAACTCTCAAGCCTAAACTTTATTTCAGCTGTAGGTTTTACTTTAAAAATACCTTGTGATTTTAGATTCTGAACGAAGTGATGAATGTAAATGTATTGATTTTACAATGATGTGTGTTTTTTTGTTTTTTGTTTTTGTGTCTGTAACTCTGTATACAGCAAAACTAGTCAAAATAATGCTTCAATTTCCAAATCGATTTTTTTATATGGTTGTAATTCAAAAACTAATTACTGTAAATACTTTAAATTTTTACC